AAGTAACGAAGTACTTGTACTTCGTTACTATAACCTAATCGAAGTACAAGTAACGAAGTACTTGTACTTCGTTACTTCCCACCACTGCCCAATTCACACCTTTGTCTTAAACCTGTCCTCTAAGTCCCCACAACGTAGTATGTGTTGAGAAAATGGTCCTTACAATGTAACAACTACAAGCCTATACACACACACACACACTCATAAAATTGTGCAAACTTTGCTTCATTGAGGATGGCCAAAGCATGACCATGACCTTAAAGCATCTCTTCACCTTTGCTTTTGGGTCCAGTGGATTGTGAGATATTCTTCAAACTCATTTTAATTGAAAAATAGAAACTGTGAATTGAGTTAGACGGAACACCGGACCGTCAACATAAATGTTATTTTTATCTTCAGGTTTTTATGGGGAGGCCAGAAATATAAAATCAATAGTCCAGTGGAGCTAAAACTACTGGACTGTACCTTCCTGTAGAACACAACAGTGTTGGGTTATAAAACCTGACCGCATATATCTCTAGCTACCCAATTATGCAATTTAGCGGTCTGTGTAGCATCAAGGTAGACAACCATGCTACCTTTTGCTCGCAGAGGAGTTTTCCTTTTTTTGCAAGAGCTGACTCAGCATCCATCCCTTGTAACACTGGACGTTGTTTTCCTGGCCATTATACGTTGGAAACTCTTGATGTTTATTTATTCAATCAATCAATCAATAAATAAAACATTTGACTCTTGTAGTCCAAAAACCCTGTCCAAATCTAGCCAGAACAAATACTTTGAGGACAATAACAATGTTTCCAACATATTTAGATACCTAAGAGATTTTCTTTGTATCCATACCCTGACTTATACTTGTCAAAAACATTTTCTTTGATTTGCTTGGAGTGTTCTTTAGTCTTCATGCTGTAATGGTAGTCAAGAATACTGATGAACCACTGAGTGGACCTTTCAGATACAGATGTCTTCATGCTTCACACTTGAGAGACACTCACTGCACTAAACTCACCTCTTACCGAAGTAAGTCAGTTCCTTTAAAAAGGATAAAAATGTATTCAATTTTATGTCAAATATTTTTGCTTAATTGTCATTATCTTGTAGAAATCAGTTTTTACTTTGACATTAAAGGCACCTGGAAGGTCGCGCCACAGCTTCTCTGTCACATTGAAGTCCACTTGAATCTTCTTCTAGAAAAGAGAATTCATGATTCTGTTGATTATGGCTGAAGTAGAAAATCCGCCCGGGACCCCCACAGATCCACTAGCACCTCTGAGCGTTGATTTGTTGTTCTGATTCTGCTGCCAGATTGAACAGCAGCTATGTTCAACATTCACACTTTGAGGAAATAATTGGCTATGAAGTCAGGAAAAGACAGGCTAGGTATTTTTTTATTATTACAAAATGTATAATGCTGGTATTTTGGTGAATGTCGTGTCCAAAAAATAAGTCATTTTTCAGGATAAAAAAACAAACAAGATAGAAACAAATTCAAGAGTACTGACTAATTACTCTCTTTCAGAGGACATCTTAGTTTTTCCCCCTCCATTTTTTTTTTCTTTTTTCTTCCTTCCTCCCTCCTTCCAGGCTTTTTTCCTGTGGGTATGATGGGAGATGCAGCTGGATATTATGCCCCCCTCCACGCTCACATTCAGATACAGAAACACGCTCTTCCTCTCCTCTCTCCCTCTCTCTCTCTCTCTCTCTTTTTCTCTCTTTCTCTCCCCCCTTCATGTCTATCTAACTCTGCGGAGAGGTAAACAGAAGGGGAGATCTCATTTAGTTCCTGAACTGTTGCAGCGCTCCGTGCTGCTGCTCACTCTCTCTTGAATCTTGGTCATTCAGAGGCACCAAAGAGACAAAAAAAAAAATCTTGGACTGGACTCGCAACTCGGAAGCATTTACAGAAGGAGAGAAGGCAAAAATTAAAAAGAGCGACAGGGATCAGAGGAGTGCAACGTTTTGCACACAATGAGCGTCCAGCTGCCGTGGGGAAAACATGAGCAACTGCAGGAATATGAGGAGTAATGCTGCTGAGTGAACTTTGTGGATATCACTGAATTAATTCCCTTAAACTTTGGGAGGGAGTTGACTATAAAGACAGGAAAGGTAAGAAAAGATTCATTGTTTGTTTCACTGCTGCTCATTGAAAAAAATAAAAACAAAATTGTCACTTTATAAAGATAAAAAAATTGGTTACATTGCTTTCCTGGATCTGATGACTTTCTTTTTTTTCTTAGTAATATAAAAGCGGAATGGTTTTCTTGAATCAGCACTTGGTTTAAAACGTTCTCTGCCCTCAATGTTTCACCGATTCCTTGAACATGATGCAAATATTTTTGTTTTAAAGTTAGTTTTAGAACAATTTTTTTGCTGCAAAATCACATCATCCAACAAAAAATTAGTTTCTTTTCATTTTGTGGTGTTCTGTCCTGGCGTCTTAAATGATGGGTCTGGTTGCCTTACAGTGTCAGACTCAACTTTGCACCAGAAAAGGGTTACAAAGCTGACTTTATTGAATTAACAGCAGGACTAACTGTGACTGGCCAGGTTACCAACATTTATAATGCAGATGCAAATTATCTTATGCTATAATCTAGTGCAGCGCATAAAATGGTGACAGGCAGTGGTACCGGGTAGGGGTGCCCCAACACAACTTTTTAACTTCCGATACTAAACTGAAATTCCAACATTGAGTACTGGACAATACCGATATTGACCCGATACGATATCAGCACAAATCATACGTACTTTTGTTACTTATTTGTAGTGTGGAATGTTAGAAAAGGCTGGATCAAGGGATGTTACTCAGAGTAATAGTAAACAACTAACATGTTTATTATTAACCAATTGGTCTGATCCAGGATAGAAACGCTGGGCCAGACTAAATGCTGGACCGGAATGCTTGTTTTTTGGTTGATATTGAACCAATTTCTGATTTCAATATCAGATCGAGACAGTCCTACTAGGGGTCAGCAACATTATGCCCAATTTTTTTTCAGCTTTGTCTTGTTTGTTATGAAACACAAAAAAATTTGTTTTGACATTTTGTGCATCAGTGCATCTAAATGCAGCTTTCCTGTGTGTGACCTTTGTTTTGTCCCAACTCTGTGTTTAAAATGTCACCCTCCTGTTGCCTGAAGGTGGGACTCTGGAGACAGGAACTCTCTGAGAAGCATGGCGGCCACCAGCCCTTCCTCCTGCCACCCTTTTCTCTTCTTCTTCATTTCCTTCCTTGTCAGCCGGCCAGTACTCACCCAGGACACTTCCTTCTCCACGGCGACAGTAACCGAGGGGGACCCTGCTTTGACCCCTACTAAGCTGTCTAACCAGACAGCGCCTAGCTTTGAGGATGTAACCCAGAGCACTCCTCCAGAGACGGGGCTCTCCACCCCCACCAGCGGTGGGGACGCAGACGATGAAGATGTCCCGCCGGTTGGAGGGACCCGTTGCCAGGGTTACTATGACGTAATGGGCCAGTGGGACCCACCGTTTAACTGCAATGCTGGGGTCTTCCTGTACTGCTGTGGCACCTGCTTTTACCGCTTCTGCTGCCAGTTCCGTCAGCAGAGGCTGGACCAGACCATCTGCTCCAACTACGACACGCCCATCTGGGCCAACACCGGGAAGCCTGTGGCCACCATCACTGAAGGCCAGGGGGATTCAGACCGCGACCGGACGCACCTCATCGTCTACATCATTTGCGGCGTTGTTGCCGTCATGGTGTTGGTGGGCATCTTCACCAAACTGGCTCTGGAGAAGACACGAGGAGGAAGTGGAGGAGGGGCAGGGATACCTCAGACTGACCTCAACTCCAGGTGAGGAAATGTGTTGGAAAACATCCTGTTTACTGTATGTACAGTTCTGTTCAGAAGGTTACATGGACTCGTTTAAAGGGTGTATGTCACAAATATTTTAGGCATTCCTTCTTTGCTTAAGATGGAATGACAGTACAACATACAATACCAAGGGCTGGAGGCACAAGTTTCAAGTTCTCTAACTCTAACCTCCAACTGGGTCAAACTTATAAATACAAACTCAAACATAAGTTTATTTATCTACATAATAGTTTCTGAAATGTCCCTTAGCATGGTGTGTCTTGATGTAGACTTTTTAGAACTATCAACACCTTCTTGGCAGAGAACTGGTAAAGTTCATTAGCTTCATGGGATTCCTGCCAGAACCCTGGCTTTTAAGCGTAGTTTGCACATTTTCTTGGGATTGAAGTCAGGGGATTTTGGGAATCTATCGAACAACCTTTCCAAAAGCATTTTTGTGGCAGTAGATCATTGCCTTGTTGGAATACCCAAAGGTGTGCAAGTTGACTTCAGCTGTCACCCTGTTGGAGAACAGGTTTATCAAAGGGTTTGGCTGGTTTGACACAGAGCAGCGTGAAAATGAACCACAATGTCTGAAAACGGAACGACTGTGGCAACTTTGGTCCCCAAACGAATCAAGTCTAACAGACTATCAGGTGTGAAAACACCCTATGCTATCTTGCCCAGTTGTGGAAATACCTTGTTGCTATGGTTACACGTGTCCAAAACTAGTAAAGTAAGAGCAAGAAATCCTTCCAGCATCCAAAACCAGAGGATCATGGAACGCCTCAACCAAAAAAAGGATCCAGAAGACTCTGACTCTGTGTTTATGTGTGTTTGCCCTGGAGGTGTAACCACAATATGAGTGAAAATGAATATTGATCATGAAACATGGAAATGCAGTGGAAAAGTTCTGTTAGAGGAAAGATAGATTTTCATTAGAGTTGGTAATGGCACTCATTGGTCATAAGCTGCCATCTTTAGATGAATGTGTACTTATTACTCTGGATTCCTTTTTTTTCCTTTATGAGGCAGTAATGAGATGTCTGCACAAAAAAGGAACAAGATTTCTTTTTACCGTGGCTTAAACTCTTTGCTTTTGCTCATTTTGTCTGTTTCTAATTGTGTCATTTTTCTCTCTTTTATGTTGTTGTGCTTCTATTTTATTTTTTGTTTTTGTTTCTTAGATACGTTTTTGTGCCACTCTCCCTCTCTTCGATAATTTTTCTCCCTGGAAAACATATCAAGTGTTGTAAATGAACACTTGAAAGAGAAATCGACATATACACGTGCCAGCATGCGTAGCCACATGTAAACACGCCCCACCCCCACAGCTGGGTTAAATATCTGCTCCAGAGTTCAGCCTGCTTGCCTCAGGTAATCGTTACAGCAAACAGCGTGCAGCGCAGGCTAACATCTCCAGACCTCCATCCCAAACCATAAGACCGTCCTCAGTGGCCCTGCCTTATTTTCTCCTGATCTCCTGCACATCTCTCCCCGCCTCCTTGTTTTTATCTCATCACATGCCATTTTCTTTGTCCTAATCTTAAATGTATTTACCATAAGTCTTCCAACATCCATATTTATTAACACCCCCTGGTAAGGATGTGTAAAAAGCCTTCAAATACATTTTCATTTCACATAAGGCAACATAAGCGTTGTATGTCTATTTCCAGTAGACGTTTTTAAGCACTTGAAACCTGAACTTTGGTCAAATGAAACATAGGTTGAGCTTACAGGTTGGACTGGTGTACAAAAAAAAAAAGATTTAGCATGGAAAAGCTCATCATCCCCACTGCTAATTATGGTGGTGGATCTGTGCTGCTGTGGAAATGCTGTTAGAAACTAGACTGGAATATGATCTTGCCATATTGTGTCCAGTCTGTGTTAGTATCCTCTACCACCACAAATCATGATGAAAGGAGACAGTACAACAGCGAGGAAAACAAGATCAGTTCCACTCATTTACTTTTACAAATGAACTCTAAATTAAAGGTTGGAAAAAATCAGTGTTTGATTATGCAACTACAATAAAAAATAAAGTTCTTGTAAAGTTTTTTACAAGTCCTTAAATTGACTTTATTCCCTAATCAAAAACATACCTGGAGTGTTGCCTTAATTCTTTCACGCATGTTTGATAAACCCTTTAATCTCCATGGCAACCATTCAGCTGTGCAAAACACCTGGGTTGACCTAGCTCCACATACAAGGACAAAGGTCCTTCTCTGAGCTGCAGTTTCCAAGTTTCCGCCTCTCAAAGCAGCCCTCCCCCATTTCTCCCTCACTCAGTCCCTTCAGACTAGCCAGCAGCAATTAGCAAACACCTGGTGGAACTGCGCATCTGCTGAGCTCATCATACAAACTAGTTCTCAGTGAAATGCTGGTAAAAACATTGTCAAAGGGTCAATAGAGGAGCCATGTTGGGATGACTTCCTAGAGGCGGAGTTTCAGACAGAGCAGGAGCTTCTTAGACAGAGGTTTAGTTTCAAGACATTAAAAGAATGTTGACTTAATAATTTAAGTCATGCTTGATATATTCAGCACGTTTTAAAAACTGCACTTTAGAGTTACTTGATTGCGCTATATAAAGTCACTTTGTGCCTGGAAAACATAATATTGCCCCTGGTTCTGGTTTCCTTCATCTTTCCCTCATAATCACCTTCCTCACCCATCCAGACACCTTCACTGTGAGCATCCTCCAGTATGCAGCTCTGTTTCAGCTTCTTCTACGAACCTGAACGGCGCACACACACACACACACACACACACACACACACACCCAGACGAGCAGGATTAATACATCCTGCAGGGTGGCACCTCACTAAAATAGCAACAGTCTTGCTGCATAAATGGGCTGCCTCTGTGAGCCCGTCTCAGCAGATTACCTCCCCTCCCTGAGATTAAACACTTTTCTATGAGATTACGGCTCCTCCGTTCCTGGTATGCTCTTCCTCCGCGCTTGTTTCGTTATTAGCCTGCTGACATAAATCCCCCCCGGTCCAGGAACGGACCAGGAGCTTGTGTGGCGCACACACTTTCTTAGGTGGTATACGTGGCGATGAGCCCACCTACTTCAAAGTTTGGTAATAAAGAGGCTAAACACAAAGGGAATGTTTTTTAATTTCATGACACTCTTCCAACGTTACGACTGCGGAAGATGATTAACTCTGAAGTCCTGATAGTTTCCCCAAAATCAGCTTGGAAGTTAAAATCCGGTGCCTGTCATCCTGAATGCATAAGTTCTAATTTATGTACACCGCCAGTACTTGTTCCAGCTGAGGGTCTCAGTTTGTTTGCACTCTGCCCCCCTCCCTCACACGCGCACACACACACACACAAACACACACCCTCCTCCCAGCCCGCGGTAAGGAACAGAAAGGGCCGCCTTCGGCCGCATGTGTCACGTCTAATGAAGGGCTCCATCTGCAGAGGGCCCTCTGCTTTGGTTACTGAGAGAGTAAACAAACACTGGTGACCTTCATGATTTCACACAAACACGGCAACACGTGTTCTCGCGCTAATTCACAGTTTCATTAGGAACGGGAATGATAGTCGTGGCATTTCGGTTCGGTGAGTGCAGCTCAGATTAACGCAGAGAGAGAGAGAGAGGTCAGGACTGAGATCCACACACCAACGGAGACTGGCGCAGGTTAACACTAGACTGCTTTGCAAAACTAATCCTATTCCTTAAACCTTTTTGTGTCATTAGAAACCACAAACTTCAACTCATTTTATTGGGATAGCATAGTAGGGGAATCCATAGTTTTCTAGGTTTCCTTTTTACTAATGGAACTCTTAGTTTAGTGTTAGCCTCATTTACTTTGATACACCTAATTAACATCCAGTGCAACCAGTACTACACTGCAAACAACACAAAATCTTACCAAATATTTTCGTATATTTTCTAGTGCAAATATAAAATGTGAAGTAGAATAAAACCAATAAGTGCTTGGAAGCAAGACGTAGGAGTTTGTTTTAAGGCAATAATTCCTTAATATTGATTAAAAACTACCAGTTCCATTGGTAGATTAATGTCACTTATAATAAAACATTTTTTCCATGTTATAAGTGAAATAATCTGCTAATGGAACTAGTAGTTTCTATTTTTTTTAATCAATATTAAGGAATTATTGACTCAAAACAAGCTCTTATTTCTTGCTGAAAAGTTACTTGTAAGTTTTTAAGTTTTTATTTCAAGTGCACTAAAATATTTTCACTAGAAACTAGACCAAAATTAATTAAGATTTTGTGTTTTTGCAGCGTAGTAAATATGACAAAGACTTAGAAAAACAAACTTTTTTTTCATTTGCCCTTCAGGAATTAAACGAGAAAAAATTACTTACAAGTCAAGTCAGTCTTATCTGTATGGGACATTTCAGCCACAAGACAGTTCAAAGTGGTGAATATAGTAACCAATTATGAAACATTAAACATTTTGTCAAATGACATAATCAGAATCAGTGAGCAAATGTACATCACATATATTGATCAATGTTCCAGTTGTTTGAATAAAACCAACTCTAAACAGGTGGGGGTTTTAATATTGATCTAAAGGAACTCAGTGTTTCAGCTGTTTTGCAGTTTTCTGGAAGTTTGTTCCAGATTTGTAGTGCATAGAAGCTGAATGCTGCTTCTCCTTGTTTGGTTCTGGCGATTCAAAGCAGAACCAGGACACCTGAGAGGTCTAGAAATCTGGCTTTCATAGAAGAATGCAAAGGAGATTGAAACCAAACATTGATCCGGAAGAAATCCTTCTTGTTGGGCACAAACCATGTGGGACACAAAGCAAACATCTGGGACAAAGTGCTCTGCAGGTCATCATCAGAAGAAACAAGGCTGGCTCATCACGCTTGCTAAGATTGTGGGAAATTGAGTAAATTTTCACAAGAGATGTAACCACCCACCTGAATATGTGGAAGCCTTTAGATTGAAATCGAACAACATTCAAACATTAGACCGGCCCAGTCAAAGTTCAGACCTAAACTCAATTGAGAATCTGT